ACAGCACTTGGCACTCAGCCACGCCTCAGCAAGGCAGGTGTCAAGCTAGCTGATCCTTGCACAGTGTGCTGCCTCTTCTCTCTACTCCCTAGGACCTCGGGACTCCAGCCGCCCACTGAATCCGGGATAACATCTCGTCAAGACCTATGATCCCACCCCGCCCAAATGGGCGACGTTCTTTCGTCAAATCTTTAAACCGAGGAACCGCCTATTAAAATCGGTCCTAGTCATTCGATTTCCGCGAAGTCCTTTCAATATCCGCGAGGATCCCTTCGGTGCTAGCACTGGTTGGGCACAAGGACTTTCAAAAGCACGCAGCCACTTCGCAAACACTTGTAGGACAAACTTGTCGTGCTCAACACGTCCATAAAACAAAAAGCGTGCAGCATCCTGCCACACATATTTGACGATGTGATGAATGGCATCAGTATCAGAGTGCCGAGGTCCGCGCGAATCTACTAGGCTGGCGCTCGACCCCGTCCTCTGGCTCGCCAAGAAAAGAGGGCCGGTGCCAGACGCGTCGCCAGAGTTCTCGGCTCGGCCCGGGCCAGGCCTGCAGCTTGGCTCCTGGCGCGCGAAGCGCGCCAGGCGAAGGGGGGTCCGGCGCTGACCCACGAAATCCACTCGAACCTCCGCATGCCTTTTTTGTTGCGGCAGAAGAGTCATGGCGCCAACATCGCAGGGCGGAATTCGTTCGGAAAACAGTGGGATGGGCCCAGATTGTCCCGCGGAATTTCGTGCCGGATTTCGAAATGAATTTCGTGCGTATCCTCGTTTTGGTCAGGAATGAAAGACTACAACAAATCCACGTGAAATTCACGTCGTTTTTTGCTCGCATTTTCGAGGTGTTGCATTGGCAGAAGTCCATGCGAAGATCTACTGCAGCACGTCTACAAGGTCGGTGCAATGAAAGGAAGAGGTGGAGACGGGGGAGCGGGGGAGGGGGGAGGCAGGTGCGCGCCGTCCCCGCAGCGGTCTCGGCTCGAGGCTGCTCGCGCCGCGGCGGAGACGGCATGCTTGATGTAGCCACCTTGGGCGACCAGCATGGGTTCCCTTCCTTCTCCTCCTCCTCCTCCTGCTCCTTCCTTCTTCTCCTTCTCCTCCTCCTCCTCCTTCCTTCTCCTCCTCCTCCTCCTTCCTCCTCCTCCTTTTCCTCCAGGGGGCTTGCCTCGGGGCGCGATTGGGGCCTTTCCCCCACGCGGGGGGCTCGGGTTCTCTTGCTGCAGTCGGATACTCTCGCAGCCCTTCACCGTCGCAGGGATGAGTGTTTCTTGTACGAGTCTGGCAGGTCTTTTGATATGGGAGCTTGAGATCGTTCCCAGCGTTTCCGATCGTGTCCGATCCTCTTCTTTCTCCTTCTGCGGCTCCCTTCACCCCCTCCTTCTACAGAGACAGGCAGGCCTTAGGGCATGGTCCATGATAGATGACCTCCCCCTCCTTCTCCTCATGGCTGTGCGGGCGTCGGAGAACCAGACCCCTTTTTTCGTCAGCGAGACACGGCTGACACGGCCTCTGAGTACCAGGGATCTTGAGTCTCGAAGATGCCCAAAGCAGCACGGACGTACATTGTTGGAGGTCCGCGCGGATTTTTTTGGTCGGCCCCTGGCTCGGCCTGCGGAACGAGCCGGGGATGGCGCCAGAGGGCGGCCCCAGAGGCGCCGCCTTGGGGTCCATCGCCTGCCTAAGAGCTCTAGCGGCGCTTTCGGCGCCACCTCTGGTGCGCTTCGCGCGCTGGTGGAGAAGAGCCGGCCGCCGACCCAAGATCCGCGCGGAGCTCCGAGAATTCGAGTAGGGGGTTGATTACAGTTGCCACGAAATTGATCTGCTCGTCGATACGAAAAATGCGTCGACTGCTCGTACATCTGCATCCGTTCGACGTAATCCCTTCGTTTATTCGACGACAATTTCATGTTTGGGGTTAGTCAATTCTGTGGTCGATCACCTACTCGAAGCGTTTCTCCGTGCGACGTTCTGTGTTTCCTTCAGCCAGGCTCTTGCGGCAGGCTGCGCCTTCGTGCCACAGACCAGGAGGCTCGGGAGGAGGGGGCGGTGCATGCCACGAGGTGCTACCAAGAGAGAGGGGCTCAGGTTGCAACTCCTGCGAGGTCAATTTCAGCACCAGCGCTGGTATATCCGTGGCGGAAAACCGTCCTAATCATACATAACTCCATTCAACTCGTAGCGATCCCACATAATCGAGTTTCATCGGGCTTGATCCTGGGATTACTCTGGACTGTTCCACCTTGATGTCCCCATGATCGGATAGAATAGCCCCTAACCGTTCTTACGAAGGCCTTCGAGGAATTACCTCCGAAGAGGGCGCTTGGAAGACTCCCTCTGCCAGACAGCAGTTGGCATTCCAACGCGCCACGTCGTGCAGGCACGGTGACGGATGACGGGAAGCGCCTCCGATTTGGACCGTATTTCAGAAGTCAGATGTTTGTCATAATAAGTGGGTCTGGGGCTTACTTGGAAACTCGTTGGCTGATTTCTCCAGGGAGGCCCAAAGTTGTAAAACTTGGTCTTCAATATTTGTCACTCCGTAGAAGTTCCAGCAGAGGTGATTTTCCGACATCGTCTCGTCATCGCTTCTGAAGGGTATCTGGACGCCCCAAGGAGGGCTTCACGGGTCCTAGGAAGGTCTAGTGATGCTTCCAGGGGGCGCCTCCAAGAGGCTGCCAAAAGAGCGCACTTAAATAAGCCCTGCAACTAGTGAGTCCCCAAGAGGGCCGCAGGACGGCCCAGTACCTAGGAGAGCCCCCAAAGGGCCCCAAGACACGCCTAGGCAACCCAGAGAAGGCTCCAGAGCCCCCAAGAGAACGCCGAAAGGTCTTCGAGAGGCTCCCAAGGGGCCCCAAGACAGCCCCAGGCGGTCCCAGCAGCCTCCAAGGCCCCAAATATCCTCACCGTTCTTATCCTCGTTGCCCTTCCCCCTTTTCTTCGTCGTCCTCCTCCTTGTCGCCCTCCTCTTCGTCCTCCTTTATTTGTCGTCCTTGTTGCCATCCACGATTTCCCCTCGTCCTTGTCCTCGCCTTGTCTCGTTCGTCCTCGTCGTCCTCATCGCCGTCCTCGTCCTCTCCGCTTTCCGCTTAATTCACGCTGTCCTCCTGGTCTTCACGCTGTCGTCCTCCTACCCCTCGTTGTTATTGGCTTCCTTCTTTCTCTTGCTCGTCATCCTCGTCCTCTTCCTCCATCTCGTCCTTGTGCCTATCTTTATCCTCGTCGTCCTCCTTGTCTTCGTCGTTTTCCCCTCGTTGTCCACGCTATTATCCTCATCTGCCTCCTTGTGGTCCTACTCTCCTTTATATGTCTTTTTCGTCTGACGAGCAATGGCGCTTTCGTTCTCGTCCAATCAGGCTTCTCTCGTCAGCGAGACGTTCCTGACACGGTCTCAGAGTAGCAGGAATTGTGTGTAGGATTAGTTTCGATTCCTCCCTGGGCGGCTTCTGGAGAGATGGTGCCTTGATGCGCAGACCCCGCCTGGAAATTCCAAGAATTTTCCTGAATAGCAGTTTCCCCGCACGAGGCTCAACAAATTCTTTCCGATCCCCTTCCGCTGACCTTTTTTCGGAGTCCAGCCTCGCCTCCCACACCTCCGCGACCAGGATTTCGGAGCTTCCGCGTGGTCGGCCCGGGTTCGCGACATGATGCTGACTGCCCCATGTTAGTGCGTCCATCAGCCACGCTGATACATTCAGGAAGACAACTATCGGGTTGAGAGGATGGGGTTCGGAGAAACGAGCAGGTCATCCATATGATCGAGCATGCTGGAGGTGTTAATTACACCTTCGTACCCTGTATCTTCCAACCTCCTCCTCCTGACACGTTAGTTGTCCTTCTCGTACACGCGTAAAAATCTAGACCTCCAAGATGGGGTCGGAGTAGATGGGGCCAGAGGACTGCGTCGCATCGCCGATGCATCGGCGATGCGTCTCGATGTGTAGCCCGATGTTCTCCGCGCCGACGTCGCCGATGCATCGCCGACGCCGCCAACGCATCGCCGATGCTTCGGTGATGCATTGGCGATGCGGCGCGATCCTCCGAGCCCTTCAATTCGGACCTTATCTAGGAGGCCTCTAGACAAGACAGACTCGGTGAGAAGCGCGGAGCTGAAGGGACGAGACCCATCTCATGCTGAGGCGGGGGAGTCTGAACTTGGAACTATATAGAAGCTTCCGCCACCGCTGCTGGCCGCCCTCTCCAGACATGGACGGGTCCCTTGTCGTCCTCGCCGTAGTCGTCTGAGTATTCTCGGGCCGCTCAAGGGACCTCTTCTCTTCTTTTTTGCCCTGTGTGATCCCTGGGGGCTCTGGTGATTCTCTTGAGATCCTCGTGAGACCATTTTGGGGACCTCTGTGGCGTCCTGTCTTCTACTTGGCCCTCTCTTTGGTCCCTGGGGGGTTTTATTGGGCCGTCCCAGGGCGATGTTTGGGCCTTCGTGCCGCTTTGGAGCCTCCTGGAGCGTCCTGGAGCTTTCTCCAGGCGCTTTCGGAGCTCTTGGGTTATGCAGCGGCCACTCGGGATCACTCGGGGTCATGCCAGGCGCTTTTGCAATGGCATCTTCCTCTTGGGCGTAGACCTCTTGCTTTTTGGGATGGAGTCATCATTGTCACCGCTCGTGTTACCACCTGAGCTATTCTGACCAAACTCACTGGCACGCTCACCTCTCTGGCATGCGCTATGCGCCACGAGGGCAAGAAGGGGCTATTGGCGGCTTTCCAAGGTGGCCCTGATGTTCGGTAGCAAATTCTGAGAGCCTTCCATGCCCTCGCAATTCCGCCTCTGTAGTGAATTAGCGTGCGCTAGCGTTTGGTATTCGATGAGAAGCGCCGATGTAGCGTCGATTGGCTTCGACTTGCGCCGAATTTGCATCCATTAGCGTCGAATCGCGTTGACTCGCAAGAGCCAGCAAGATGGGGCATGGGAGTCTCCCCTGCGTTGCCACCGAGCTATTGGTGGCTTTCGAAGGTGGCCCCTGATGGAGTGTCTCGCAAAGCTCACTGTCCATGCGTAGATGTGAGCGCCCGTGGAGGTACAGGCTAGTCGCTGGGAGCAGCCCGCACCGGACCTGGTCAGCCTGGAAGGCCGTGCTGCCGGCCCCTCAGGTTGCTGGCAGCCATGTTCAGGGCACTGGGTGAGGATGGTGAGGGGGGCCGAGAGGTCGGTTTTCTTGATTCAGAGGCTTACGCCGTTCCGCCGACCCCTTGATGCTTTTGCACGCGCCCTGGGCATTCTTGGTTTTCGAGTTGAAGCATCCTGGCAGTCCACCTCGGGAGAGGGAATGCCTCCTCTGGTAAGACCTGTTGGGGCCTCTTGGGGATTGGTGCGTAGATGTGAGCTTCCTGGCGGTCTGCGGCCCCTCAGGTTGCTGGACGCCATGTTCAGGACGTTGGGTGAGGATAGTGAGGGGGACAGATTCGGGAAACAATCACGCTGCTTCGTACCCAACCCATCTGCACTAAGTGGCAATAAGAGTTGGTCCAGAATAGCATGGTTTATGATAATATGGGGTGTACCATTGGTCGTGCGAGCTGTATGGGAAACGCGCGCGCTGCGCGACCCGCAGGACAGTATCAGAAGGACACAGACTGAGACCCCGGACTCGAAGAGGAAACGGGGGTGGGAACGAGGGGGGAGGACAACGACGGAATAGGGGCCACCAAGTGAACGCGACAGCAGCAGTGATGCGGTGAAGGAGTAAGGAGACCACAATGGAAGGCAGGATGAGGAAGGAGGGTGAAGACCATTCTCCATTGGCACGCTGGACAAGCAGCGCGGCCCGCGCCATGCCGTCTTGGCGCTCTTTCAGGATCAGCTGTTCACAGCTGGGGCAACAAGCGAGCGCGGCCGAGCTCACCCACCAGGTGGTCAGCTTCTTTCCGATATGTTATGTTGCGGGAGCTTAAGGCCCACAGGCGCGCCGCAAGGTCTTCGGGCGGTCCGCAGGAAAGGGAGTCAAGCTTCACCTGAGTCTACGTGGGACGTCACTGTGCTGGACCCCCAGCAGCCTTCGGAAGTGGCGAGCGTTTCGCAGACCGCAGACCTCCAAGAATGGTGAGGTCGAATCTGAGTCTTCGCAGGGCGTCACTCCACTGGACCTCCCAGAGGCCCTCGAAAGTGGTGGGTGTTTCGCAAGTGGCGAAGGTTTCGCAGATCGCGCTCTCCCCCCCTCCAAGGGATGGTGAACGTTTCGAAGGAAGGTCATTCCGCTTGACCCCCAGTAGCCCTCGAAACTCGCAGATCGCAGCCCCCCAGGGATGGGGAGCTCTGGTTGAGGTCCGCGGATGACGCTGCTCCGCTGCATCCCCCAGCGACCCTCGACAGGGGCGACAGTTTCGCAGACCGCGGCCCCCCAGGGATGCCGTGGAGGCAGGGTAGCAGGCAAGTCGGAGGCAGGGCAGAAGGCAGGTAGGAGGCAGGGTTGCCGGCAGGTGAGAGCGGTGCATGAGGCGGCAGGAGGAGGGGAGGAGAAGAGGAGGGACAGGTGGAGATGTGTGACGGCAGTGTTGCACCGAAAAAGAAAATCCAACGCAGGATGGTTTGGGAATAGTTAAACAACAGCGTTCGGTGCTCCGCGCAGATTTCTCGGATCGGCGCAGGAACCCCTGGCGGCGCTTCCAGCGCTGCCACTGGCGCGCTCCGCGCGCTTGGGAGGGGGGTCTAGCGCCGATCCGAGAAATCCACGCGGACCTCTGAAAGTTAATGTTTATGTTCAGGATATGGGTCGAGCGAGTAAGCAGCATGACCAAGATGTCGCGGGATCTTTTTGATGCCGATTTTGGTCATGGCCAACGTCGGCCGTCGCCGATTCGCGAAGATGATCCACGAATGGGCGGTAACCAAGATGGAAGGTGACCAAGATCGACACGACTTTTCCGCTTTCAGTCTTTGTCATGGTCCCCGTTTTCTTGGCCTCCATTGGGTCAGGACGGTGGGGGGAGATAGAGGTCGTTTTCTTGATCCATCGCTTGGCCCATGCCGAATCTTACCGCTGCAACGACGACGTTTGCGTTGGCACTCCCAAGGGGCACACAGGGAGCACATTACGGAATCTGAGCAGTAGGGGCACTCGGAAGACGGAGCAGACGAGGAGGGAATGAGCAAGGAGGAGCGGTGAGAGGAGGGAGGATTGGGTCGGCCCGCCGACACACGGGTCGAAATGCCTTCAAGGTAGCTTCGGCCAGAATGAACGAGAGAGGGCAGGAGCGGGAGTGGGAGAAGCGGGGGGTGAGGAGGGGGAGTTGGACGGGGAGCGGAAGGGAGAGGCGGTCGAAGGGGCAGGCGTTGTGGAATGGCAGAGGAGGGCATCATGGGTAGGGGGGGGTGGGCCGTGCGCGGCGAGCCGAGGTCCGTGCTCGCACTCTTGCTTGCCTCGGTCTTCGTTGCGGACCGGGTTCGGCGTGACCTCGTGGGAGCGAGCCCGACCACGAGGGCCGCCTCCTCCGCGGCCGAGCTGCAGCGCCGAGGGTGGCCCCTGCAAGGGTAAAGCGGGGGGAGCACACCGTGGGCACATCAGATGCGAAACCATGCTGCCAGCAGGTGCCCCACACATGCATTCCTTTTTGTAATGGCCTCGGGCCCGTCCCGCCGATCCGGGGCGCTCCGAGCGTGGTGATTCGACTCTTTCTACTTCTCTCCCTCCCTCACTCCTTCCCTCCCTTCATCCCTCCTCACCTCCCTGCCTACCTCCCCCCCTCACCCCCCTCTCTCTCCCTATATCCCTCGCCCCCTCCCCCCCGCCCTGCGGCCCTTCTCTCCTTCCCCCGCCATCCCTTCCCACCATCCTCCCCCCTTTCCCCCCTTTCCCCCCCTTTCCCCCGTACCCCTCGCCGTAGCGCCTTTTACGACGCACACGGTATCCAGCTGCCTGCGGCAAGTCCCGCGACCGTGCTAGTCGAGTCTTCTCGGTGGCAGCTGCTTCAATACATGAGGATGATGCTTGCGACGGATGGTGATGAAGATGCTGTTGGTGAGGATGATACTGCTCATGCTGATGCTGCTGCTGATGATGATGATGACGATGATGATGGCACCGACGATGACGATGGGAAGATCAGGAGGAGGACGAGGAGGAGTAGGAGAAGGGGGAGAGGATGTGGAGGATCGTGGTGACCAGGGGGATGGATATCATGATGGTGGTAGTGATGATGATATGGAGGATTAGGAGAACGAGGCTGATGGTGATGATGATGATGATGATGATGAGGAGGAGGAGGAGGAGGAGGAGGAAGAGACATGATCGGTGTTTTGGTCCAAGCTTATTCTGAACCTTAGTTAAATTTCGTACTCCCATGGCGGTAACGAATGTGAAGGCGCCCGCGAAACGAAAAGCCACAGCAGCCTCCAGGGGAACCGCGGTGCATGAGGATGCAGAGACCGAGGGCGGCCCGGCTGCGACTCGGAGGCCACACTCAGTGAACGAGAAGGCTGGACCAGTCGAACCCATAAATGAGTTGAAACGGCATCTGCGTGCCTTCATCTTTGGTCTCTTGGAGTATTGCATCTCGTTGCAAAGCATGCTGGGCCACAGCGGGCACGCGAGGCTGAGAAGGCATTGTCGTGGTACACAAGTATTACGTATTTCTGCGGGTGTGACGAGGGGGAGGGGAAGACTGTATTCGAGTGGGCCGTAGAGCTCTTGCGAGCTTGGAACACTGAGAGCGATGCATAGCTGCAGCAGGTGTCGCCAGGCAGGCTTCGCAGAGGAAGGGCGTGTCGAGTTTTGCGGAGCTTTGATGAAACAGTAAAACATCTCCAGACGACAAAGTTTGAAAGCGAAGGCAGCTGGCGTGGATAAGGCGAAGTACATTCAATCTTGGAAAACAGTGTCGCGAAGGCTCGGGCTGAGCCAAGCTCGCCAGGCAACGCCAGCTTTGCGAAAGGGACACCCTGGTACAAAAGGCGAAGGAGTTCCATGTCGCAGCGATGGGGCGCGCTCGTGCGTGGAAGTCTAGGTCTTCGTCAATTGCGAGCGTAGGGTTGCCACGACACCGCTCTGACGAAAGGAACGACACCCACGCTCGCAAGCATGCGCGCGAGATTGCGCTGCGGCGTAGGAAGCGCAGCTGTCCTTGCAGAGTAAAGAAGAAGCTGCTGCATAATGTCCTTGTACAAAATCCGCAACCCCGGGCCGGAATCCAGCGCATCGACAGAGGGTCTCCATGTAGAAAGGTGTAAATCATCCAGCTCAGGAGGCCGCCGCCCTTCCATCGCATCTACACAAGGCCGCTCTGTAGCAGCTGCAAATCCCGCGTGGCGCTATTGAGGCCCCCCTCTTATAACCCCTTCCTCAGCAGAGCTAAAGCTCATACTGAAGCGTAGCTTCAGCTCAGATTCCTGAAAGTCGCGCCGGACCGGCGGATTCCGCGACACCCTGGGGCACGCCGCGCTCGAGTTCTGGGACATCCCTCGAAGTCCAAGGTTGACCGAACAACCTGCCTTTAGGTGTTCCAACAACGCATCCTCCAGAGGAGCACAGGACGTTTTTCGTGATCATTGTGCCCTGGGCAATGCCAAATACGGGAAGTTGTTGCCAGGCACCGAGTAGGTTATACATCGCTGATCAACTGATCCCGAAGTGATCCAGCTTTGGGGTTACGAGCAACCCTAGATTTGGATACTTGCCCTTATCTTCTTCGCCTGTGGGCCCTCCACCTTGGAGCCTTGGGCATCTAGTGAATGGGGCTCGTGCGATTGACCCACGTTCTTGTGGCCGTGTTGCGAGTGCATCCGAGGCCCCGCCCGCAGCACGGCAAAATGCGAGCGCGCAAATAGGGGAATCTGATCGCGGCGTGGCTCCCGCGCCCCGAGGTTCGGGCGGGGTGCCAGTCTCGGTTTGGGGGGGCCCCATCGCCTTGCCACCGTCGCCGCCGACGACGACCATTGGGGAGGAGGGGCGAGGATGCGGAGAAGGAAAGGAACGAGGGGGTCGAAGAGGAGGAGGACGACGAGGGGGATGCGAATGGAGAGTAACGCGTGTGTGTGTGTGTGTATGTAGTACATACTATATCGAGGACGCCGGCGGCGCATCACCGGTTTCTCCTTGGGAGTTTGCCGAAGATCGCGCAGCATCGGAAGTCGTGACGTGGCGCGGCCCATCCCGCCACCGTGCTTGGGTTTTGGGTCGGAGTCCTCGTGGACGCTTCTTGGGGTCTCTCGAGAGGGCTCTCGGGGCCTCTGCGGGGGAGTTTGGGGGCCTCTAAGAGCCCCCTGGGGGCCTCTTGGGACCGAAAGCTCAAAATGTTCATTCGGGTTCCCCTTCTGAGCGCCCTCTTGGGGCCGTCCTGGGGCCCCTCTTAGGCCGTTCTGGGTGCTTCTTGGGCCGTCTTGGGGCCCTCTTGCGCCGTCTTGGAGCCCTCTTGGGGGCTTGTTGGGCCGTCCTGGGGCGATCTTGGGGGCCTCTTGGGCCGTCTTGGAGCGTGGGTAAGCCGAAATGGCGAGAACACGGAAATCCTTTACAAACTATTGAAAAATCAATGATTTTTGCATGTTGGGGCTCTCTTGGGGGTGCTCTTGGAGGCCTCTTGGGCCGTCTTGGAGGCGTCTTGGGCCGTCTGGAGGCCATCTTTGGCGTCTTGGAGCGATCTGGAGCCGTCTGGAGGCTCTCTTGGACTGCTCGGGACTCTCTAGGACCGGCTTGGGGCGCCCTTGGGTCGTCCCCTGGGCCGTTTGAGACCTTGAGGGGGGGGGGGCGGCGGCAGAGTGGGGCCCCCTCGGAGGGACTTTCAGGAGGTTTTTGACCAGGCACTGGAGAAGGGGGCCAAAGACTGTGCCAAACACTCTGTCAGAGAGGTCTCGCACGGCCCACACCGCAGGGCGGGAGCGGCCGGATCGAGGACGCCGGCGGCGCATCACCGGCCGCTCCTTTGGAGTTTGTCGAAGTGGTGCGCAGCATCGAACGTCGTGACGCTCCAGGGGCCTCTTCTTGGGGGCGTCCCAGGGGCTTCTTGGAGACCTCTTGGGGCCCTCTTGGGGCCTCTTGGAGCTCTATTGGGGTTTGTTGGGGGCCTCCAGGGGGCCTCTTAGGGCCTCCTGGAGGCCTCTTGAGCCGAAAGCTCGAAATGTTCACTCGGGTTCCCCTTCTGGGCCTCCTCTTCGGGCCATCCTGGGGCCCCTCTTGGGCCGTCCCGGAGGCCTCTTGGGCGGTCTGGGGGCCCTCTTGGGCCGGCTTGGGGCCGTCTTAGGGGCCTGTTGGGCCGTCCTGGGGCGATCTTGGGTGCCTCTTGGGCCGTCGTGGAGCGTGGGTAAGCCGAAATGGCGTGAACGTGAAAATCCTTCAAAAACCATTGGAAAATCAATGATTTTTGCTTCTCGGGGCTGTCTTGGGGGTGCTCTTGGAGCCCTCTTGGGCCGTCTTGAAGGCGTCTTGGGCCGTCCGGAGGCCATCTTGGGCGTCTTGGAGCGATCTGGAACCGTCTGGAGGCTCTCTTGGACTGCTCGGGACTCTCTTGGACCAGGTTGGGGCGCCCTTGGGTCGTCCCCGGGCCGTTTGAGACCTTGAGGGGGGGGGGGGGCCGGCGGCAGAGTGGGGCCCCCTCGAAGGGACTTTCAGGAGGTTTTTGACCAGGCACTGCAGAAGGGGGCCAAAGACTGTGCCAGACACTGTGTCAGAGAGGTCTCGCACGGCCCACACCGCAGGGCGGGAGCGGCCGGATCGAGGACGCCGGCGGCGCATCACCGCATCGAAAGTCGTGACGCGTGGGTTTTGGGTCGGAGTCCTTATGGACGCTTCTTAGGGTCTCGCGAGAGGGCTCTCGGGGGCCTCTGCGGGGGAGTTTCGGGGCCTCTTGGGGGCCTCCTGGGGGCTTCGTGGGAGCCTCTTGGGGCCCTCTTGGGGCCTCTTGGGGCTCTCTTGGGGCCTCTTGGGGGCCTCTTGGGGGCCTCTGGGGGCCTCTTGGGACCGAAAGCTCGAAATGTTCATTTGGGTTCCCCTTCTGGGTGCCTTCTTGGGGCTGTCCTGGGGCCCCTCTTGAGCCGTCCCGGGGGCCTCTTGGGCCGTCTTGGGGCCCTCTTGGGCTGTCTTGGAGCTCTCTTGGGGGCTTGTTGGGCCGTCTTGGGGCGATCTCAGGGGCCTCTTGGGCCGTCTTAGAGCATCGGTAAGCCGAAATGGCGAGAACGCGAAAATCCTTCAAAAACCATTGAAAAATCAATGATTTTCGCTTCTCGGGGCTGTCTTGGGGGTGCTCTTGGAGCCCTCTTGGGCCGTCTTGGAGGCGTCTTGGGCCGTCTGGAGGCCATTTTTGGCGTCTTGGAGCGATCTGGGGCCGTCTGGAGGCTCTCTTGGACTGCTCGGGACTCTCTTGGACCGGCTTGGGGCGCCCTTGGGTCGTCCCCGGGCCGTTTGAGACCTTGAGGGGGGGGGGGGCCGGCGGCAGAGTGGGGCCCCCTCGGAGAGACTTTCAGGAGGTTTTTGACCAGGCACTGGAGAAAGGGGCCAAAGACTGTGCCAGACACTGTGTCAGAGAGGT